TATGGTTCTTCATCTTCCATTTCCAGCTATGGTTCTTCATCTTCCATTTCCAACTCATTTCTCGCCCATGTCGGTTTGACTGGTCCATTTCTCTATCATAGCAGATCATCCATCTCATTTCCTGCCCTTCCAGATTCCTTACCTCCACTTCATGGTCAATCAGGTTTCATACTAGACGTCCATGTTGGTCCATAGTCATTCCTTTCTCTATAAAGGCATCATCAAGGCCCATAGCCTTCTCTCGATCCAATACTTCATGGATCAGGCCAATATAAGCTCTCCAATAAGCCCATTAGTTCTTACTGTGACCCATTTCCTTTCTGGAACGTGCATTGGCTTCCACAACATTAATTTGAAGCTTACCCAGGTCGCACCATTCCCTCTTCCTTTAAAAGGATTTGTCCTCAAATCCAGTTCCTCATGGATGAATAAACTGTCCAGTCTCAGCTTCTTTGTTTCTCTTTGGACCAGGGTATTGTTAAATGTTTTGTGCACGTCTATATCCCCTCCAGGCTCAAATACAAAGCCATGTAAACCCTTCACACGTCCTAAGTTCTCCTCTGAACTATGCTCATTACAAACAACACTTAAAGCAAGCAATTTCTGCTCCTTGTTAAGCTCAGGCCCAATGGCTTCTGATTGAGCGTCTCTCCACTGATACCAAACACAAGCCTTGATTCTAGACTTCTTGGCACGTGATCTCAGCTTAGAATTAACAGAAACTAGCATTAGTTCTTCCTATCCACGAAAGAATCCTTCCAAATCAAACTTCAATGTTGCTGCTTTTTATATCAGATTGTTGGTGATGCTTTTATGCATACAAAAACTCCCTCCTGGTTCAAAAACATGGTCTTCCAGCCCCTTAACAAACCTCAGATGTTCCACTATGCTGGTCTGAATCCATACAAAAGGATTGGTTAGAAGATCATAAGAAACATATTCAATCATATCACTTTCTTCAACCATAGTTGTAAGTGCCAATTCATGAGCTTTAGGTGATCCATCAAGCCCTCCTTCTTCAGCTTGGTTTTCACCAGGCACGTAATCACACATAACTAATGAGATATCCTCTTGTTTCTGATGGTTGGCCAAGTAATCTCCTTGAAAAAGACTAGTTGGTTTTGATTCAAACTCTTGTTCTCTCTCACCCCGTTTTTCTGCAGTTTCTTCTTTCATCTCTGCTGGTTCCGTCTGGTAACAACTTAGCTCATCATCTCTTGCTGCTGGACGTGTGAATGACCTCTGTTGTGGTTTCTTAATCACAGCAGTGAGTGATTGCTCTATCATGTTCTTGAGGCGTTCATTGAACTGTGGGCTTTGCAATTCATCAAGATATGCTTCATGTAGCTGCAAATTTCTTTGTGCCTCACGACCATAGTAGATAGTTGGCTCATCTCTGGGTGTCCTAACACGTCCTTTAGCTTCCCTAGATTGCCTTTGCATCCTTTCCAAATCAGCTTGCCCATACCTTATGGCTACAAACCTTTTCTTCATGATAGACCTCATCTCATACCAAGAGGAAATTTGTTGCTCTCCATATTTTCTCCTAGTGTTAGTTGTCTGATACCACCATTCAAGTGCATTACCATATAATCCAGTAGTTGCTATCTGCAATTGCTTCTCTGCTGTGTACCTATGGCAGTGAAAAACGAAATCCATATTCTTTTCCCATTCAAGATATGTATCTGGATCAAACTCTCCATAGAAGGGTGGAATTTGGATCTCTTTTCTTCTTTCTTGCAACAGCTTGCTTGTTGCTGGTTGTTTAGCCTTCTCTTTAAGTTTTCTATAAGAATACATAGAAGATTGCTGGATATATGATGGAAGTCGTGACATAGGTTAAGAAAATCAAACCATAAACCTTCAAGTGGCTCTGATACCACTTGGTACAGTCGTGGAATGGCTGTCTCTCCCTGGATCACTTGAAGGGGGCGTGGGTGGATGATAGATGCTCAATATGGTCTCTTTCTCAGAGGTATGTGATGCTCTAAAGATGGTTTTCTGCTCCACTGACACAGGATCACCCTGCTTAGTGTCTAGAATGGATCACAGAGGTAATCCTTGCAAACAGAGAATCAAAATACTCGATCTGTATCAAGGCTTGTGGATTGATGTGGAACACAAGAGAGATGGCTCGCCTCCTGATACTCCAAGGCTTCTGATCTGGATATGACACACCAAATCAGAACCCAAGCTGGATATTACACACCAGCAGAATTGAGAGAAAACTCAAAACAAAGAAGATGAAAAATATGTCGATTGATTACTGTAGTGTTCTGCGTACAAAGTAAATAAAAGAAAACGCAAAATACCCTAATCCTTAATCAATTTGGTTTACTCTAATTCTAATCCTAATTGGGTTTGGTTTACCCTAGTTTAATCCAAAACGAATCTGCCTTTGGTACAAATTAAAAACATTACAATTCCTTAAACAGTCAGAGATTAAACCAATGGTTTAATTCCTTTTCCTTCCTGGTTAACTCCTCTTCTCTTTCCACGCCAAAAGCTAAGTTTAGAAGAGCATGCCTCTATGTTTGGCCATTGATATTGTGACTTGTCCAGTTGAGAAGCTAATGCATCCTCCATCAAGCTAGTACGCCCATCTGATTGTTGAAGCTCATCCTTCTCTTTGTCTAATACTTCATAGATCATACCAATAAGAACATGAAACTTTCCATTAACCCAAGCTTTTATCATTAGCCTAGCTTGTTCATACATCTGATCCCATCTCTTAAGTTTGAGCTTGCTCAGGATCGCACTATAAATTCTCCTTAGAAGGGTGAAATCTGGATAACTTTTTCTCCTCTTTGCAACAGCTCCCTTGTTGCTGGTTGTTTAGCCTTCTCTTCTTGTTTTCTAAGAGAAAACATTGTAGATTTCTGGATGGTAGATGAAAGTCGTGACCTAGGTTAAGAAAATCAAACCCTAAACCTTCAAGAGGCTCTGATACCACTTGGTACGGCCCTGGATAGGACTGTCTCTCCCTGGATCACTTGAAGGGGGCGTGGGTGGATGATAGATAATGAATATGGTCTCCTGCTCAGAGCTATGTGATGCTCTAAAGATGGTTTTCTGCTCCACTGACACAGGATGTGGGGTCTATATGTGTACTCAGCTCACTCTATTTAGTTCTCCGTTTTTTGATATGTCTATGCACAGAGAGAAACCCTGCATTAGAGCTGTGAACACTTAAAGGCTCACTAGAACACCAGTCAACCCTCAGCTTACAACACCACCTTCATGTTATATTACGATGCCATCAATAGAACAAACAAACGTCAAATCCACTCATCTTCACTGACGACCTTGAGAAAAGCTACGTCTACAGGAGTCCAACTTCTACAAAACTCCTCGCCTTCAGTTACAAACTGTTGCTCTGTTCATTATCGCTTAGAAATCTTGCATTATAACTTATCAAGGAAAAGAAAGGCTGAGATCGGTGGCTGGTTCAGAAATATTTTTCAATATGTGCATAATTTTTTAAAAATAATAATATTTATAAATAAATCTTATATCCTATTAAATATTATTTATTTATATTGCATTACATGAAATAGTAAAGTGAATCATTTGAAGCACATAAAAAATAATTTTGTTTATATGATTAATATATATCTTTAGTATTTTTGTCAAAAATATTTAGGGTTTTTTTTTGTTGCAACCAACCAAAATAGGATACATACACATCTATATATGAGTTTTCAATAAACACACAAATACAATTACATAAATAAATAAACAGAATCCCACTATAAAAAAAAATTAGCAAGCTAAAAGATATATAAAAATACTGAGCCAAGTTTTTAATTAAGTATAGCGACCAAAAAAAAGTAATATGTAAGTTGAGCGAGCCAATATAGAAGGAAATAATCAATAGTTCGTTTAGTTAATAAAAAAAAAAACTAAAACCGTGAGAAACAAAGACCTAACAAACATTAATTGGGGGTAGACAAAATATTTTAATGAGTTATACTTAGAGGAAAAATCCAATAGCCTATTTTAAGTTTTCGTCTCCAAAATAAGTTTTAAGCTAAAAATTAATAGTATTTATTAATTGAGAGTAAAAGTCTATAATATCTTTACTTTTATGGTAAACAAATTAGAAAAAGTAATAAACTGCAACCACACAAAAAAACTTCTGACGGCCATACATTTGAGCCTGCTTTGTTACTTGAATCCAATATAGTGAGCAGAATCAGAGTTACAAAGAATATATTATAGAAAGTTTTCCTTTACTGCTTACGGATAAAGATGAGCTTAACTACCTTATTTATAGGTAATAAATTCAGGTTAGTCTCTAAAATAAAATTTCAAATGTTGTTCCTTCTATATATTGCCCACATGGTACTTAATAGTATAAATATGTTCTTTAAATAAAACAATTACTATTTGTTTAAATTCTTTGGATATGACTATCAATTTTTTATTCTACTCATATTGAATTGATTAATTAAAATCACTTATGTTATTCTACTTCATACTAAGCAACTAAAAAACCAAATAATACACACAACGGTTGCTAAATGAATCTAAAAATATCATGTTTTTGAACATATGTTCTTCACTAAGACTATAATATGAATTGTAAATTTGTGTAAAAATAAAACATAAGGAATACCAGTAGTGTTTCATAAAATACTCCTCCGAGAAAAAAAAAATGTAAAAATTCAAAAAGTCGAGAATAATGGATAATCCATAACCAGACTGGGTCGGGGCAGATCTAGCAGCGTATACAGATCCAAATCACACACCCATAAGAATCTCTGCGGAAGCGCGTCGCGGATCACGCGCAATCATCTGTAACCTGCCTATCTTTCTCACCTAAATCAAAAATTGAATTCTAGTGATGAAAATCGATCTTTACTCGTCCGCCAAGTAAACGCAACCCCAGCTTGCTTCATCAATACTTCAAATCTCCTTCTCAACAACTCTCTCTCTGCCATTTGATTTGTGTAGTATATCTTCTCTTTAGGGCGTAGAAAGGCCTCTACAATGCTAGAATGCCTCAATATAGACAATCCGGAACCGATAGATTTAGCGTTCGCGGAGGAGGAGGAGGAGGCTCAGCGTCTGATCACGTAGCGATCGGGATCCGAAACGGAGCGAGTCAGCACGGGAAGGCTAACCGTTGGAGGCGATCCGTTCGACCTCGGCGCCTCGGAGTCAGCTCTGTTGTCTTCGTTCTCTGCCTTGTGCTCGTTGTCACTGTTCTAGCCTACTATTACATCTCTGGTTTCGCTAATAATGGCTACGATGATAAAGGTTCTTTTTGTTTACTTGTATGGATCTTTTCTTTTGTGTTGCTATTATATCTCTGAGCTCAGATTATTTCGCAGGATTCGATTCTTTCGACGGTGATTTTCTTACGAATGTGACGAGAATTGATCCGGCGAAGGTGCTTGAGTTTGGTCACGGTTCAGTGGTTCATGGACGAGACTCGAGGTATTGGGATAAGGATGATAGACGACGGGATGATGATTATAATGAAAATGACTTAGAGCATAAACCTGTGAAGGGGATTGGTTTGTACAATGAAGCTGGGCGGAACGAGTTAAACAAGTATGAAGCAGAGTATCAAGCTTCCCTTGTCAAAAAAGGTGGTGGTGGTGGGGATCACGAGGCAGATATGGACCCTGATGCAATTGATTCTCATGATAGTCAAGGAGATGAGTACGTTGATTCTGGCCATGATGATGATGATGACAGTGAAGATCCGCACAAGGAGGTTCTTCCTTCCATGACCAAACAACATATTACCAAAAAGGAGGATGGAGATACTTCAAAAAGGTCACTTGGGGAGTCTAGTAAGTCCGGGAAGACATCACGATCTGTTTCAAAACGAAGAGCTCGTGTTCGCAGATCTTCAGGTGATAAAACGTGTAATTAGATGGGTCGAGGACCTCATTATTTACTCATCATTCTTTTCTTGTTCAACCTTTCTGGTGCAGCTTGTGAGATGAAACTATTGAATTCTAGTCAACCCATAGTGGAGCCCTTGAATACTCGAAAATCTGCTAGATTCTCCTTACAGTACGTAGAGGATGAGGAAAAACCTGATGGAGAAGAACAGTGGGAGCCTAGGTTTGCAGGTCATCAAAGTTTACAGGAGCGAGAAGATTCCTTCTTGGCTCAAGACAAGAAAGTTCATTGTGGTTTTGTCAAAGCTCCCAAAGGATCTCCAACCACTGGGTTTGATCTGACAGAAGATGATACTAATTATATCAGTAGATGCCACATCGCTGTCATCTCATGCATCTTTGGCAATTCTGATCGCTTGAGGCCTCCTGCCAATAAAATGGTATGAACATTGATGTATATGTATGCTCTTTGGAACATGTGACTAGTTAGGTTTAGTGGCACATACATACAATAGTAACTACCAGAAACTTGCGAGCCCTGTTATCTTAGAGTTAGAGTGACACGTGTTGACTTCTGCCGGGCCGGGACCGGCCTGATGAAACATTGGCCTTGTTCCCCCAAATTTTCTGTAAAAAATTACATGTACATAGGCCCCTAAAAAAAAAATTTTAGGCCCACAAATCTATACTATATAAAAGTTGAGGCTATAAGCCATTGAGGACGTCCACGTAGGATTTAAGTCCTCCAATCATATAATGACACATCATTATATTAGTTTATTATTTTTATAAAATGTCATTGTTTCCAAATTACATTAAAAACGAAATTAATATTCCATATATAACTTAGCTAACAAAATAAATATTAACATTTTACAAATTACTTAAAAATGTTAACTGTTATAAAAAATGGAAAATCAAAAATAAAAACGTAATATTAACAAAACAATA